AGTAGCTGAGTGGATAATGCGAACGGTACTGGGTTCGAGTTCCAGAGTGAACACCAACTCTGAAATGCAGGTACATCCAGCTGACGAGTCCCAAATACGACGAAACGCACCTCTTGGATTCCACTGCTAACCACTATCCATCTTTGCTTGCAATATACCGCTTAGTTATAAAAGTCATAATTGTCTCTTCACTAGAAAAGAAAATTATTTATGTAAATAGCCGATGTTAATTTACTTGTTTAGTGTTGGTTACTATGTTAAAGCCATATAACTTATTCTAGGTTAAGGACAAGTCGATTTACTCGTTCTTCTTGAGTTACATTTTGACCTTGACTGTTTTTATTTAAGCGTATATGTGTTCACTTCTTATCTTATTCATCACATGTCCGTAGCTTATTTTTGTGTGACTATAATTATTGTATAAAGCTTGATTAAATAGAGTTGGCTCACATGCCTTCTCCATTGCACTTTATTTTAATTCGCCCACTTCCTTTAGCTTTCCTCGCTTCTCTTCTTCAATCGTTTGTCTCGATTAACAAGTGTATAAAATATACGTATTCAAACATCTATTCTCTTATTTGATTTATTTAATTCCGTTATTCATTAACATGAGTTAAGTCGATCATTTTATACGAGGATTGATGATATATACATTTCGACAGCAATCATTCAATAAAAGTCATTCATACGATCCACTTTGAGTCAGATCTCGGGCGACAAAACTTGTTCATAAAATTTTCACCTAACATTTAGAGGTTAGAAGGGAATATCAGTAGAAATCTTGTGACTGTTTTGTACATTTTTTTCAAAATTGGATACTTGGTTGATTGTAAGAATCAAGTTTATTCTAATTTGTGAATTTTACAGAAATAATTCTTTGTAACGAAATAATTACTTCATATTTTCAGTTGCGGTGACAACCAGTTCTAAATGGTTTTTTTTCTTATCTTCAAGTAATACTAACCAGTATTGGTATCAACGACTGGATACGATTACGTAATGAAAAACCTAAATCATAATGTTCACTATTATGTAAATGACGTAGATAAATTTCATTATAGTTATTACGAATTATATATCAGAGATGAGATGACTTTTGAACGACGCCAAAGTGACCTTGAGAATGTTCGCCTACTTATTTGGGCTAAATGATTGTTATAAAGCAGTGAAAAGAATAAAGATTATGACTTACAGTTGATAGTTAAGGTTAAGAGTTAGATTTAATTAAAGTGTCAAAACGCTATTTAGACAAATGGATAATGTGTTGTGCTAAGTCTGATTGGTTTGTCCATAAATTGTAGACTCACCATAGTGTTTGGTGGGGAAGATCATTGGTGGGTTATAAGTATTCAATAATTAATATATCAAAATTATTATTTGTGTATGAAGTAATCCAAGATTAGTGAAATGGAATTAATGTGTTTAAGATTAGTATCTGTTTATTGGTGCTCAATCATAATGATGAGCTCATTTTGTAAGGACGGCTCGTTGGTAAACTCTAGGAAGCCTGAAGAAGCCCAGAAATAGACGCAAACATTCCATCCAATGTAGACGTGTAGCTTCCCCATTGGATGGATACGAATGACCCCCTATGTGCCTATTAGTTGTCTGAAATGATGATTTAATCTCAGTCAAAAACTATAAATACATGAGATTGCTGTACTATTTCTGCACTGTTTTGGGGAATAAAGTTCCTACTTACTAGTCTTCTGTTTTCTCTCTTGCAACGTTGCGGGTTCTATCGTTCAAGTAGTCTAGTAGTACGTGGCATAGTAAGAATCAAGGCTCTAGATATAACACATCAAATATTGAACTTCTTTTATTGATTATTCTCAAATTTAAAGACCAAGTTTATGTTTTGCATTCAGAGGTACGTAGAATGCATATTTAATGCATTCTTCTCATGGGACAACTCTAAAAATAATTCAATCTATTACTGATTGGTATTAATGATTTAGAAAAAAGATTGACGATTCCTTCTAAATAAAGTAGGGGAACTTGAACTAATATATTGATTAATGTTACTTATTTACACTGATTAATATTTGAACAGAAGCCAATTACATATTTGTCTTATTCGTAGTACTGTGACTTAAATTTTTTCGATCCAGATGCAATATAGCAACTTGTTTATTAAATGGACTGCGTTTTTAAACCTGCGTCTAGCACTTTCCATCGATTAATTCCAATAATTTCACTAAAAGACGCAGTGGACATTTTGATAGAGTTTTGTCCTCTGAGCTGGATGGTTTGGTCGTGAAGCTTTCGTCGTTATTCTGAACGACATCATCAGTACAGACTTCAGGTAGAAGTGAAGTGTTCCAATTTCTTCACATATGGTCCACATCTTATCCTGTAGACCTCGATCTTGATTGGTTATTGTTGACCTTTAACCTGTTATTGTTTACTATTTTATTTTGGTTGTATCTCCCACTGATTTGATTTTTCATCCTATAGTTGTCCAGGATTTTTCTGATTGATTGGTAGGTTGAATCGATTTCAGGGTTTGTTGATTGCTGATTATCTGGGTGCCAAGCTTCTAAAAATTTTCTGGTGATTTTAGAATTCCTTCTATCCGAGATCTCAACATTTTTCCAGTCGAATGTGTGTCCAAAGTTGTCCACATATATTGATATAATCGAGGATAAGTCATTTGACCGCTAATTGGTGTACTTGCAGGTGAAGGTGGAATGGGGTTCCACTTTGTCCGATGTAGTGTTTTTCTCACTCATTTCGTAGATAACATTCTGTTTTTCTTCTTTTGTCATTTCGTCTTTTGGTTTGTATAGGATCGATTGAAGTGCTTTAGTTGGTTTTTGTGCTATACTTATTCCTAAAGGCTTCAACAACCTCGTTGTAGTTTCCGATATGCCTTTTATGTATGGTATGATGATCTGTTTGTTGGTTTCTGTATTCGATTTTGTTTCTGCCGATGCGTTTGGTTGGTATGTTTTGGTCAAGTTGATAGGATAGCTGCTCTTTTGAGCGACAGTCTCCAGGTATTTTTCTTCATTTTTCCCCACTGCACGTGTGTTACAGTGTGTCCTCGCCCTCTTGAACAGAGTTTGCACACAGCTGATTTTGTGAGCTCTTGCATTGTAGCTACTGTAGTTGAGAATTTGATCTGTATGGGTCGGCTTGTGATATACTTGATTCTCCCGTTTTCTTATGCCGGTTATGGTGATTAACACACCCAAGAATGGTAGTTTGTTGTTTGGTTCATGTTCAATTGCGAACTTGATGGCATCGAAGACGTTGTTGATCAGATTGTAGGTATTTTACGGCTCATTCGTGTACTTTCGAGAATTGTGTCGTTGGTGAGAAGGAGGGATAGAGTTTCCTTGGCTAGGCTTGGTTCGATTGAGATATATAAGGCCGTTACATCCAAGGGTATCACCAGTTCGTCGTTGTTGATTTGAATTACCTTAATCTTATTCAGGTATTGTATGGGGGATTTGATGGGGTGATTGGATTGATGGAATTAGTTCACGCAATGTTGATTCAGTTTGACTGACTGTTGCATGTCATCGATAGAATTTGACTAGCATCGAAGATTAAATAAACATACTATTGGTCACTATTCAGCGTTCAGTTAGTGTAAATGTCAGTTTGACAGGAAATCGGTCGTTACGCAAACAGTTCAATGATGCTGTCTTTCACTATGAAACTGAATGTCTGGGTTTTGAATCCTATGACGTAGGACACCAGCTCTCTCAGAAACTGTTCATTAGTGATTGTATTGTATAAGAATATTTTAAAGGATTGACAAAGCAAGGGCAGCATTTCTACAATTGAAGGATATATGCAACTCAAAACAACTGTCTATCAACCAATATCAAAGTCACAATCTTCAATACAAACGTCAAGACAGTTAGTTCTACTGTATGGAGTTTAAACTTCGAGAACTACTACAACCATCATCAAAATGGCACAAGTATTTATAAATAGTTGCCCGCCAAAGATACTCAACATCCATTGGCCGGATACCATCAGCATCAGCCTTCTGGGGGAGAGGACAAACCAGCAGGTTCCAGATGAAGAGGAAATAAGAAAAAGACGTTGGAAGTGGATAGGACATACATTAAGAAAATCACCAATGTGCATCACTAGGCAAGCGCTTACTACCTGGAATGGTTAAGGGAAACAAAAAAAGGAAGGTAGATGAATACACACACCATGTGTAGAATTGGAAACAGACATGAGAAGGATAAATAACAATTGGAGAGAACTGGAAAGAATTGCCCAGGGAAGGGTTGAATGGCGAATATTGGTGAGTGGCCTCTGTTCCTCTACAAGGGGTAACAAGCGTAAGTAATTAAGGAAGTACTTAAGACAATTTAAAAATACTGAAAGTGATGAGATAAATTAGTCAATAACTTGATTTTCTTATAGTTGAAATCATAAGTCAATTGAAGCTAGACCACCATGGAAAACCTGAAAGCACTGGACGGCCGTTTCGTCCTATTATGGGACTCTTCAGCAATGCTCATCCATGATCCTGCACTCGTAAGATTCGAGCCCATGACCTACCAATGTCGCACCAGAGCACTTAACCAAGTTTTCCATGATGGTCTAACTTCAATTGACTCATGATTTTAACTATGAAAATACTGAAATCTTCACAAAACTCCCTTCTGAACTTGATTTTCATTAGTAAATATATGATTGTTAACCATGATTTACTTTGACATCATTCATCCCATATCTTTATATGTATATGCATGCATACATATAACACTATCTAAGCATGAATTCTAATTTACATAGGTAATTTTTATTATCCAATTCTTATTATACATGATTGTATATATGAACAATTATGTATCATTGTGAAAGGCTTTATTATAAGGCTTCACTCTAATGTTGATTATTCATATCTCTTATACTATCAATTCACTTGATCATTGATATTCATCTCTTCTATTTGTTTGTTTGTTTGTATGTGTTGGTGTTGGTGTTTATGTTAACCTATATCTTTGTTTATATTTAATCCATTATAGAATTAGATCAGAATACACGATTGAATGCAAGACATCGTATCTATGAAGAATATTTACAATCTTTAGAGAAAAGATACAATATTAAAATGAATCAATCTAATGAAGAAATAAATAAAACAAAAAATTTAATGGATTATGATTTAATACCACATAGTTTATACATAACGACAAGTGTTGATGGATTACATTCAATGTTAACTACAGTACAAATGGATTCATTAAAAAGTTATCCTCATTCAATAGATCAAAAATTAATGAAAGAAAATACAACAGAAGAGAAAATTATTGCAAATAAATGTAAGTATTATTTATTATAGTTATTTGTTTACATCTGTTATCCCATCTTGTTTGGATTGGGCACATTTTGAGGAAATCACTCAATTGCGTCACAAGACAAGCACTAACATGGAATCCTGAAGGTCAAAGGAGAAGAGGAATACCAAAGAACACAATACGCCAAAAAATACAGACAGATATAAGAAGAATGAACAAAAACTGGATAGAACTAGAAAAGAAGATCTAGGACAGAGTGGGTTGGGTTGGAGAATGCTAGTCGGCGGCCTATGCTCCATTGGGAGTAACAGGCGTAAGTAAGTAAGTAAGTAACCCCACGTTGTCGAAGAGCACAGGCCGCACACCAGCATTCTCCATCCAACTGTGCCTCAAACAATCCTTTCCAGTTCTTCCCAGTTGTTATTCATTCTTTTCATATGTGCTTCTATTTCCTGGCGTAATGTGTTCTTTGGACTTCTTCTTTTACGCTTCCTTTCCGGATTCCAAGTTAGGGATTGCCTCGTGATGAAGTTTGGTGATTTCTTCAATGTATGTTCAATCCACTACCAACGTCTTTTCCTAATTTATTTCAATACAGTAGTACTGGTCATTTTTTTGTTATTTTTGTTGTTGAAAGATTGAGGTGGATTTTGATGGATAGTATGATCATGATCATATTCAATAGGGGGATTTTTATTAAATGAATATCAGAACAAATTATGAAGTCATTTCAATGAAATGAAATAAAACTAACATGATATAAGGTAATCAATTTTATTTATTTATTTATTTAAACAAATAAATATTGGTATAAGGAAGCACCAGATATATATGCCCCTTTGACCTAAAGGTCTGATCCACAAGACAGTATAGCATCGTGAGGAGATGCAGTCTCATGGTAGCCTGTGACCAACAATTGATTCATACGCCATTTGTTCCCTCAGGATACTGGAGCCCATGTGCATAATTGGTTTGGAATTAGGGTTTTTCAACTCCCCTAGATGGACACTCCACAAAACGCTGGACATTCGCTTTTCGTCCTCTCAATTTCGTAAACAACAGTAGTGCCACGAGAAGGCAGTGAGTAGGACTTCCCTGACAGAGGCTGCATACGCGTGGCCGTGTGAGAGCATTTGGAGAGTTCGAGCGAACCCTCTTCACTCTCGTCCGTGCCAGGGCATTTGGGGGCAAATAATTCACTTCGAAAACTATTGTTCAATAAGGACTGAAATTATTCAAAGACACGTATTTGAAGTAAATAGCCTGGTTTTAAAAAGCATGTATAGGAAACGCTTTTCAATATCTTCAGGATTTATTACTAGTATGAATTGCTCTCGTTATACATGAAGCTATGATCAATTATACCATCGCTTAAGAAAGTTATTTTATTAAATGATTAAACTTTCAGGTCACGTGGTTAGTGGCAGCCTGATAAGTTTAACCACTGGTTGAAGATGGTAGGTGATGAGTCAAAGTTGGTCAAAATGGAGGAGATGTATTCAGTGTTCTGCTTTCGTATATCATACTTCATAATTGGTGAATTCATTCTTTCTTCTAGATTCCTATTTTCAAAGCTTGATCTTTTCTGCTGTTACTGATACTGTGATTATTTATATTATTTAGGAATTTATATTGATAATTTCATCTCACTGAATTGATGTGGTCTGGCAACTTGAACCGATAAATATATGTGCCATATCCATCTTTGTTTATAGCTGACTTGTTGAATAATTAAACGTTAGCTGAATGAATTACCCTGTTCACAAATAAAGGGAACTATTTGTTTTATTCTTTAGAATTCCTACCAGAGATCTGTTATGAACCAGATAGTATCGAAAATCTGTCTGGATCCAGTTTAATACCTCTCAGAAGTGTATACTCAGAATTCAACACTGACCAAAACCCAGTAAAATAATCCATACTAGCGGTGAGAGTGATGATTATGGATGATGATGATGAGGGTGATAGTTTAATAATAATACAATTTGCCCAAATTTGAAAACGCAAACTACTAGATTTTGATTCATTGATCTAAGTGGTATCTTTTTTTGCCCTGAGAAAAAAACTATCCTACATTCAATCGTGCATTAAGTTTAGGATGTATACTATTGAAAAGTTTCCAATTTGGATTAAATAACTGTTTTCTAAATACTTATTGATTAGGACTTATTCTCTTGTCGATGTCACTTCATGATGAAAAACAAACTAAATAAGTAGTTTACTGACCTGATGTAGCATGTCAACGCTAACGCATGTAACTATGTCGTTTGTCGGAGAATGAAAATATACTTCAGTTAAAAGAATAACCTCATAGTGATCCAGTGATGGCAGAAATGTATTTATAGACGTTTAGTGTCATGCTACTTTACACAATATACATATATCTGATTTATAGTGGTTAAGCATTGACAAATTCAATGTATTAGGAATAATTTCTTGTTTATAAGTGGAATATGTCAATCATATTTTATGCTTAGATTCAATTATCACTCAAATGAATGAGTTAAAAATGACTAACAGACAAATTAACTTGTCAGTTAATACTGACTATCGTATATATTGGTTACTAGGACAAAAAGCTGACATGACATAATTTACTAACCAGTATCTGACCTCTTTACCATAATTTGTTGTTTACTCATTCAAAATTAATCTAAAATTATCTATATTATAGTGGCCCCCAAATGCCCTGGTACGGGCCAGAGTGGGAAGAGTCCGCTCTCCCTCTCCAAATGTTCTCACACGCATGTATAGCCTCTGTCAGGGAAGTCCTAGTTACTGCCTTCTTGTGGTGGGGATGTTGTTTACGAAATTGAGAGGACGAAAAGCGAATGTTCGGCGCCTTCACCGGGTTGGTGGACATGGCGAGTCCACCTAGGTGAGTTGGAAAACCCTAATTCCAAACCAATGGTGCACATGGGCTCCAGTATCCTGAGGGAACAAATGTCGTATGAACCTATTGTTGCTCACCGGCTACCATGAGACTGCATCTCCTCACGATGCTCCTCTGTATTGTGGATCAGATCTTTAGGTCGAAGGCTCGAAGTGTCGTCCCCTAGGAAAACCACCTGCCTCAGTTTGGGCACATGTGCGGTATCACAGCCTTCACATAAACCAAATGGGATTTGTGTGGGGCATATATATCTGGTGCTTCCTTATACCAATATTTATTTGTTTAAATAATAATAAATATAAATATAATGTAGTGAACCAGGACTTGGCAGGATAACCAATTGATTGTTTAATGTAAAATTACAGTATCTTCGTCAAATATGAAAATCATAGATTAGGTACATCATTTACACATTTCCCATCAGTTGTCTCTTACAAAGTTCATTTATTTTGTTATTACAATTACTCTCTATATACGTTCCTATTCTCTTTCATTCGATCTTCTTAATCTTCTGTTGCCAAGTGTTCCACTTCTGATCGATGTTGCATAGTGCTTATATCTGTCAATATAACAAACACACTACGATAGTAGTAAGAAAAATTAACCAAATATGACTTAAAACAACTTTTACTGTTCTTTTGGAAGTGATTTGTTAAAATGATCTATATAACATTCTAAGATTACCATTTTAGATCTTCCAGGGTATATCAACCGTAATGTTTCATAAAATGAACCTATTTCAACTTCATTACTTTTATTTTACATTTGACTAACTGGGATAATATTGCAACGGATTACTTAAACAAAAATACTTCAGTACAATATGATCATGTGATCATTGTTTTTTTTTACTCATGTTATCAGATAAAGTGGGATTTAGTCCCCATGGGTTATCGTATATATACTTAGAAACAACCTTATTAATTTAAACGCCCATCAATCTATTTCAATTAACATTAGATAACATTCAATTATTCAAGTATAGGGGTGACCTTAAAGTACAGAACTCATAAATAAACAGAATCTACATTTAACTATTCAATTATCATTAATTTGTCTATTAAAAATTTTGTACAAAATAGTAAACACTAAATATCAGAAGGGGTTTTTTTTGGGTGTGGAGATTGCAGTCATTTTATAGTTGAAATCATGAGTCAATTGAAGATAGACTGATAGGTCCTGGGATCGAATCTTGTGAGGCCAGATCGTGGATGCTCACTGCTGAGGAGACCCACAATAGGATGAAATGGCTGTCCAGTGCTTTCAGGTTTTCCATGGTGGTCTAGCTTCAATTGACTCATGATATATATATATATATATTGAATGACATCATCTACCCGAAGTTTGTGCTGATGTCGTTTAGAAGGACGATGAAAGCTCCACGACCAAACCATCCAGCTCAGAGAACAAACCTACTTCAAAATCACCACCTGAGCTATATATATATATATATATATATATATATATATATATATATATGATAATAATGGGCGCCATTTTTAATTATAAGAGTACATTTGTAGAACAAATAAATTTGGTCAAGAACTAGAACATGAATAACCAATATAAATCATGAAAATTGGTTATATATATTTTTCTTTTTTTTTTCTGAAAAAAAGAAGAATATAATAATAAATTCCTGAAAAATAATAACTATGGCTACTATTTTAAAGTATTGATTATTAATTAACTGTTTACAATTTTAAGTTAGGGAGGGGTGTTGTGGATATTATAGTAATTTAATAATTGAATTCATAAGTTAATTCAAGCTAGACCAACATGGGAAACCTGGAAGTACTGAATGGCTGTTTTGTCCTAGTATGGGACTATTTAGAAGTGTGAAACCGATAGGTTCTGGGTTCAGATTCCGAGAGGTGGGATCGTGGGTGCTCACTGTTGAAGAGTCCTGTACTAGGACGAAACATTATCCAGTGCTTCTAGGTTTTTCATGGTGGTCTAACTTCAATTGATTTATGAATTCAACTATTAAATTTTTTAAGAAACCGTGTGAAAATATTCAACATATTCATCAAGAATCGATATCATACAACGTAGCATATTGTTGTTTCATTTTGAAATTGATAATTCCTCGGAATGTACAACTCACTTCTAATATATAACTGTTAAGTTC